TCTCTCTCTCTCTCTCTCTCTCCCCCTTTTCTCTACTCAACTCTGTATCTTTATTCTAGAAGACAAAACTCCATCATTTCTCTTCTCAGTGCAAATGGGGGGAGGGGGCTGTCTACCTGGCACCAGCCTCCTGGAAGTCCAGAGGAGAGAATGTGGGGGTGGGGTGGAGATGGAATGGGGTGGAGATGGGGTGATGGGGCAACAGGCCATCATGGGTCCCACTCTGACCCTGCCTGGGCAGGGTCCATGCCCTGGATGAGGATTTGGCTGCCACTACCGGAACCAGGCAGTTACTGGGGGCCCGGGACACTGGCCTTCCTTGGGAAGAGCCATTGGCCATTGGAGGCAGCTGGAGGGGCTGAGCACTCTGGCTTTGGGGAAGCCCCGAGGGCTCTGTGCTCTTCTCCCCCCTCCATGGTCTGGTAGGCCCCAGGGGCTGGGACAGAGGTAGCAGGGTCTCTGGTTGTACTGTCCAAGGAGCTTAGGGTGGAGTTTGTCCCTCTGAGGGTGGCCTAGAGGTCCCTGATGCTGACCATGGCCTGACAGGGGTCTGAGGGCTCTGCTACTCTGTTGCCATGTGAGGCTTCCTGAGGTGCTGAGGAGGGTGTGGGGTCCTAGGACCTGAGCTGCAGGGCTGACCAGGCTCAGGGTGGGGAGGTCCTGGGGCACACCAAGGGGGCCTTGTGGGGCATGGGGCCCAGAGCACAGTTCCTTCTCCCCAGAGTCTTGGGGCCTGGTCAGGGAATCTCTAAGCACTGGGTCAAAGGTAGCTGTCCAGCGGGGGCCAGGAGTCTGGGGGTCGGAGAGGGGGGTAAAAGGAGGGCCCACTCATATCTTGGGCCACCTGGCCATCCTCCTTATTATCCTCTTCCTCGGTATCTGTGCTGCCTCCACTCTGGAAGCCTGGAGGCTGGCCCAGGTGGCACCTCCTGGCTTGCTGGCTGCCCTACCAGGCTCTGTCCTGCTGGATCCAGTCCTTGTAGCATATCTGAAACAGGTTGGTGTTGGGATTCTTGTTGTCAGCGTTGAGGGAGAAGGTAATGTTTGCTGTCTTGTGGGAAGGCACATTCACACTTTTCTCCTGCTCCCCAGACTCCTTGTCATTGAAGCCAAAGTGGTTGATGAAGGCCAAGGCCATGCACTACATCTGGAAATCCATGAAGGCTTGCTGCAGCATGGCCTCCGTGGAGAAGTTGAACTTCTTAAGCTAGTTTTCCTTGTCCTCACTGAAGGAGTGCAGGCAGTGGGTGTTCACCAGGTCCACCATGTTCTTCTTGTTGGCCTTGGCCAGGGGTCCTGACAAGAAGGCCTCTCACTGCTCTGCTGCTCACCCTTAGGCCCCTTCTCTGTTGTCTGCACCAGGGCATTGTCCACTCTCGTTAGGTGGCGCATGTAGCCTTTCCTCTGGACCCTGTACAGGGTCCCAGGATATCAGAATTTGCTCCACCAGGTAGCACTGCTGCAGCAGGTGTTTCACTATGGGTTTTGAGGCTGGCGTCTAGAGGCTGCTGTCAGGCTGCTGTTAGAAGAGGCCCAGCTTGGAGTGGTGCTCACATACACCTCCACTTGTGTGTGCAAGAAGTTGTTGAACATGAAGAGGAAGAAGAGGTCCAGCATAGTGTTGGGCACGTCCAATGCCAGGAGCTCCTGGGTGAGGGCCGCATCATTGGCCCTCAGGGTACTGGCCATCAGCTTGACCACATACAGCTGTGTGTTGTATGTGGCAGGGTCAAGGTGCCCCATGTTGTGCATAACGGCTCCAACTCCTGTGGCTCAAGCAGGAGCTGGTGGAAGTGGCTGAGCTAAAGGCGCCAACTCTGGACACGGTGCTGTCCAGGGTTGTCTGGGCCAGAAGCTCCAACTGTCCATGCACATTGCTGAAGAAGTTGTTCACTATCACAGACTCCGACTGTGGCCTCCTGGGCTCCAACAAGGTCAGCTGCACCTGGATCCTGATGATGAGGACAGAGGAGCTCATCTCTCCCTCCAGCAGGTCGCTCAAGAGCTATTTGATCATCTCCTGTTTCTCCAGGGTGGCCAACAGCTGGTCGGGCTCTGGGCTGTCCTGGACTTGGATCGTTTGCTCCCAGCTCAGGCAAATGATGTAGCACAGGGACTGGGACATATTGGAATGTTGACTGCCATCTTTTGATGGGTGGATCTGCTCAATGAGCCACTGGACAATTTTCTCCTCATTTCCCCAGTTGACCACTTTCTGCCTCAGCTGGGGCCCTCCACACAGGTGAGGAGGTGCAAGAGCAGGTCTATGATGACTGAGGTGCCAATGTGCTGCAGCAGCAGGTCCACGAAATTGTCCTTCTTCTGCAGGAAGGACACGAGCTGGTCCATCTTGTGGTTGATGAGGATGCCCATGACCTTGCTGAAGATGATGGCCAGCAGTGGGTGAGGCAGCCCCTGCTGTGTAGGAAGCCATAGAACGGGTTCAGCAAGGCTCATGTATTCCTAGGGCATAGTTGATCTGGGGCACCTCTGATGTCAGGATCTCGCTGGCCACACTGGGATACCGGGGTACTATAGCACGGCTGCTGCTCCCCGCTGGCCGACACCTCCTGGGTCACGCAGTCCACCATGGTTTGCAGGTGCAGAGGCTGTAGCAGGAAGTCCAGCAGCTTGCGGTTGATGACCTTGCACTCCTGCAGGACGTTCTCCTGGCCCAGCAGGGTCAGATCCTTTGGCTCCAGCAGTGTGTCCAGGTGTGAGTTCCTGTGCAGGTCAAACTTCCAAAACATGGCACCCTGCCCTGGGAGGGAGGGAGGAGTGGCTGCGCGCACTCAGGGCTCAACTGGAGGGGACCAACCTGTTTTATATTACAGAATACTCACCCCAGCACCCTTGTAATAGAAGTGAGGGTAGAAGAGGGTAGGTAAAATAAGGAGGATTGGTTGAAAATCTGTTTAAGAAGCAGGCAAGTGACTACCTCATCTAATCTATACCCTACTCTGGCAAAAGACTGGAGATTTGTTCCAGGGAGGGTAAAAGGAAGGTTTGGACTGGAACATACCAGGCACTGCCAACAGAGGAATTAAACAAAAACTCTCTGAATGTCTAAATCTCTCCTCTCAAAATATTGAGATGCATCTGGTGCTATCAATTTCAACTTTTTGAAGAAATCTCACCCGGGAGCTTTTAACCTGCTCTGGACTGGTTGTCCTCTGCACATGGCAAACAGTTGCCAGCCTGGGATCTCTCTTTATGTCTTCCTAAGGAGACCTCTCTCCTATGTTAGTTATATTTCTTCTTTTTTTTTTTTTTAATTTAATTTTTGTTTAAAATATTACAGATGTCCCTTTTTCTCCCCCATGACCCGTTCCACCCCATTCCTTCCCCCTCCCCAGTCCTTCTCCCCACCATTGTCCATGTCCTTGAGCTGTGCATATATGCATATAAATTCTTTGGTTACTCTCTCCCCCTCCACCCACCTGCCCTCCTCCATCCTTCTGACATTCTTCAGTCTCATCTATGCTTCCATGTCATTGAATCTATTCTGCTCATCAGTTTATTAAGTTCTTTAGATTCCACGTATAAGCGACATCATGTGATGTTTGTCTTTCTCTGTCTGGCTTATTTCACTTAGCAGAATTTTCTCCAGGTCCATCCATACTGTGCCAAAGGGTATGAGAATCTTCTTCTTTACAGCTGCGTGGTATTCCATGGTGTAAATGTCCCACAGCTTTTTTATCCACTCATCTCCTGATGGGCACTTGGGCTGTTTCCAGATATTAGCTATTGTAAACTGTGCTGCTATGAACATCGGGGTACATATATCCTTTCTGATGAATGTTTCAGGATTCTTAGGATACATTCCTAGGAGTGGAATCACTGGGTCAAAAGGCAGCTTCATTTCTAATTTTTTTTTCTTTCAGTGTTTACCATTTTCCTTGTTTAAAAGTTTCTGTATTTCTAAATTGAAACTGTTTATCTGAAATTAGCATGGTGTAAAACAAAAATCAAAACAAAAACCCTGATGCTATGATTTCTTAAAACCATACCTACTCTATTATTGCATGTTGCATTTTATAAAAAGCACTACTCATGCACTCCTTTACAACTGTTTAATACTATTGCTGGCAGAAAAGTTCCTGGATATCAAATTATTAAAAAGTTACTTCAAACCAATTGAAGTTTTATTTAAATGTTTTACAACTTAAAAAATGTTGTATATCAGTTACAAAAGTGAATAGGAAACACACCAATTCATTTGGTGTGCAAAAATATTTTTCCACTACACAGAATTTAAGGGCGTCACTGAATTTTTTTCAAATTTACATTTTCAGCAGAAACATTAAATCAGTAACTTTCTCAAGGAGATGTTAGTATGCTTCCACTTTTGTCAAACTTTTTACCCTTTCACAATGCTACAACCTGTTTGAGTGGTTCTCTGGTTTTGGCCTGAAGCTGTTCCACAGTTTCTTTGTGAGCTTTTTCCATACTGTTCATCTTTGTTCTCAAGTTTGCCTCTTGGTACTGAAAGTCTGCCTTTAGTTCAGTTAACTTTTTTATCTTTTTCTAAAATGGTCTGGTCTCTCTGCTGTAAGAGACGCTTAAGTGACATCACTTCTTCTTTCAGTTGGCTTATAAGGACAAAATTGTCTGTTCCCCCACTATCTGCTGACTGATTTATAGAGCTACTGACAGAAATGGATGCAACTGGCAAATTACCTTACTAATGGCACACATTACATACACCTATCTCCATTAGATGGCTTAGATTCCAATTTGGGCTTTTTCTTTGGAGTTTCATTCTGAATTGCTGCAGAGGATTTATGGCCCTGTTTCCATAGTCCCTGCTCTTGTTCTGGACTCAGATTGCTGATTTTGTGATGGCTACTGCTGTGCCGATGGTGATGGTGATGATGGTGGTGATGTTTTGAATGATGCTGGTCTTTCTCGGTAAGAGATGAAGATGATGAATTTGAATGCGAAGATCCCAGGCTCTTCCTTTGTTCTTTTGTCTTCTGTAAAACTCTTTTGTATGATAAAGTACAGAGCCAGCATAATAACTTTCCATCAACCTATTTAAAGAAAATGTTTGTATTAGATTAAATGTACCTATTACCTGGCGATAAGTGAAACTAGGTAATATAAAGCGCTNTTCTTCTTCCTTCCTCCTTCCGATCAAAAGCACATTGTTGTTTGCACTGTTCACAGGTCTGAGGTGGTCCATATTTCTTTTCTGAATTTGTGCAACGCTGACATTTCGTACCAATAAATGCTGCAATTATGTTACAGTACTGACAAGGCTTAGGCATGCCAAACTGCTTCACATTTTGAGCATACTTCTTACAAATTGTATTAGTTTTGCTCTCTTGTTGAAATTCTGATCTGCAGTAAGTACATTTTACAATAGGATGCGAAATCCAACATTCCTGGAGAGACGTCCTGGCGCCAAGCAAACGCTCTCCTTCGGGTTTAGTCCAAGAGAACTGGTGGAGTGTTTGAACTTCACACCTGCTTTAATGCATATCAATCATTCGAGTCAATTGCCTCAGGAGACGAAACCACCCCTCGCCTAGGTTTCCACTGGAGAAGGCCCGCCCCTCCGTAGACTCCCTGGGAGCTGTCTAGTAGCCCGCCACTTTACCGCCTGGGCGTTCTCGGCTACTCCATTTCTAATTTTTTGAGGAACCTCCATACTGTTTTCCACAGTGGTTGCACCAGTCTGCATTCCCACCAGCAGTGTGCTAGGGTTCCCCTTTCTCCACACCCTCGCCAGCACTTGTCGTTTGTTGATTTGTTGATGGTAGCCATTCTGACAGGTGTGGAGTGATACCTCATTGTGGTTTTAATTTGCATCTCTCTGATGATTAGCGATGTTGAGCATTTTCTCATGTGTCTCTTGGCCAACCCTATGTCCTCTTTGGAGAAGTGTCGAATTATTCAAGGCCTTTGCCATTTCTTAATTGGGTTGTTTGTCTTCCTCTTGCTGAGTGCTATGAGTTCTTTGTACACTTTGGAAATTAGCCCTTATCAGATACATCCTTGACAAATATGTTTTCCCAGACCGTGGGGTTCCTTTGTATTTTGAGGCTGTTTATATTTCTTCTTTTAGCCCATGTTTCATCCTTCCTGGTTTATTTCATCTTTTGGTTTAGCACATCCTCCAACAAGTTCCTGAAAAAGGGAGTCTTGGTTAGTTTTTGCTATAATATGCTGCATACCAACCAACCACAAAAACTTAGTGGGCATCTAGCCTTCAGCATGGGGACTAGATTCAGCTGGCCTTCTTTTAGACTAGTAATCCTGACTAGTTATAAGAATCACTTGGGATGATTGTTAAAGACAGATTCCCGGGATCCTCCCAAACTTTGATTAGTTTCCAAAGCAGGGGCCTGGAAATTCTTTTAACAAAGCTACTCAGGTCATTTTGTCATTTGGCAAGTGTGATAAATACTACTGTAGATGTTGGTTCTGTAAACCTAGGTCTTCAAAACTTGCCCCAGGTAGGCATATTGGAGCCACTTGGGGAGTCTGATAAAAATACAAATGCTGCTGATTTCAACAATGGAGGCGAGTCTCTAGGATTTGAAGTTTTTACCATCCTGCCTCCCCAAGGTGATTCTGAAGTACAGCCAGGAGCTGGGGAACCAATGCATTAGCACATAGTGCTACCAGCTAATGCAATAACTTACATCTTTAATCACTTTGCCCTCACTGACTTTGATCTTTACTGTGTTCAGGACATTCCCCGCTACTTACAAACCCACTGTGGGAAAGAAAGGTGGGTAAATTTTGACCCCTAGCTATAGCAACTTCAGTCTGGTGTGAAAGACAGGTATACAGGAGAGATTAAATATGGTGGCAGACTGAGTGGAAGTTACACTGACACTCTCCTGGGACGAAACTGGAAATACAACTAAAATATAGAAAAACCATAACTGCAACTGAAGACGAGCTGGAGAGCATCCTCATAACCAAGGAGGAAAAGTGGAGACCACATAGAGACTGGGAGGAAGTGCTGGATGGGCTCCCACAGGCAGCAGCTGAATGTCCAGAGGGATATCTCAGCTATGGGGGGTTTCCACTGAGAACTCTTGGGCCTAAACCCCAGGCTGGCATCCCAGTCAAGAGCACCATAACTGAGAAAGGTGCCCACATAACATCTGGCTGTGAAAAGGAGACAGATTTCTGTCTGCCAGAGAGAGACAGCTGGACATGCAGGCACCCTCTTAAAGAGCCAAAGCACAAAGTTTCATGTGCAGCCACTCACATTGGGCCCCAGCAGAGGGATGGCAAGTGGACTAGAGCTGTGTGAGGAGAATCTAGGGTTGTGAGATCTGGAAATAGAGCTCAGAGGGCACCCCTCTGGGTTCCTGTGCTGAGTCATTCCCCCATTTTGCAGAGGCAGAAATTTACCTTCCAAGCAGCTTTTGCCTGAGGAGGGAACAATTGCCCCACCCTGCTGAAAGCCTTCTCACTCGAACTCAGGGAGTTTCTACAGCCTGAGGCTCATTAAGAGACTGATAACAACCAGCCACCCCACCCTGGGGAGTTTCTACAGCCTAAGGCCCATTAAGAGAATCAGATTAATCAGCCTGCAGGCAGAGGCAGACTTCAGAGTGCTTTGAGTCTTTGCCTGATATGCTTCTGGACCCAGGACTTGGAAAAGCAGACTTTGGTGTGCATCTTGGTCCTGTCCAAATGCACCCAACCCCAACAGAGGTGACCTCAAGCCGGGGGTTGTGGGTGTTCCAAACTGGGTACTCAAGGCAAGTCACAAACAGCAACTGACATTGGCCTGCACCAGAGACTTTCCAAAAAGACTGAGAGTCCTAGCAGGCCTACCTAATACAGGCAGCCAAAATGGGGAAATAAAAAAACAAGCCCCAAATGAAAGAACAAGAGAAGTCTCCAGAAAAAGAGAGAAATGAAATGGAAATAAGCAATCTATCAGATATAGAGTTCAGAATACTGATTGTAAGGATGCTCAGCAGCATGAAAAAAGATATGGAAACTATGAAGGAAATTAAGAATGACATAGCAGAAATAAAGAATACATTGGAAGGAATAAACAGCAGATTAGAGGAAGCTGAGGGCTGGATCAGTAAATTAGAAGACAGGGTAGAAGAAAATCACTAAATCAGAGACCCAAAAAGAAAAAAACAATTAAAAAAGAGGAGGACAGCCTAAGGGAGCTGTGGGACAACATGAAACATAACAATATTCGCATTATAGGATTGACAGAGGAGGTCGAAAGTAGGCAAGGGTTAAAGAACCTGTTTGAAAAAATAATGGCAGACAACTTCCCTAACCTGGTCAAGGAAAAAGTCACACAAGTTCAGGAGGAACAGAGAGTCCCAAGCAAGAAGAACCCAAAGAGGCCCATCCCCAGACACATCACAATTAAAATACCAAAAATTCAAGACAAAGAAAGAATCTTAAAGGCAGCTAGAGAAAAGCAATCTATTACCTACAAAGGAGCACCCATAGGTTGTCAGCTGATGTCTCATCAGAAACTTTACAGGCCAGAAGGGAGTAGCATGAGGTATTCAAGGTAATGCCAAACAAGGCTCTGAAACCAAGACGACTATATCCAGCAAGTCTATCATTCAAAATAGATGGTGAAATAAAGATCTTCCCAGGCAAAAAAAAAAGAAAAAGGCTAAAGGAGTTTATCACCACCAAACCAGCATTGCAAGAAATGTTAAAGGACTGCTGCAATAATAAGAAGAAACAGAGAGAAAAACATAGGCATTTAGAATTAAAATGGCAACAAATAAGGACCTATCAATAATAACCTTAAGGACTTTAAGAGAGAGATCAATAGCAATACAGTATCATAGTCATGGACTTTAACACCCCACTGACTTCTCTGGGTGGATTTTCCAGAGAAAAAGTCAACACAGAAACAGTGACTAAGTGGCACACTAGATCAGATGGATTTAATTGATATTTACAGAACATTTTACCCCAAAGCTGCAGAATATACATTTCTCTCAAGTGCACATGGGTCATGGTCATAGGCAGATCACATGTTAGGACACAAAACAAGTCTCTACAAATTCAAGAAGATTAAAATCATCTCAAGCATCTCAGATCACAAGGGCATGAAATTAGAAATCAACTACAATAAAAACACTCAAAAACATTCAAACACATGGAGGCTAAATAACATGTTATTAAAAATGAATGGGTTACCAATAAGATCAAGAAATAAATCAAAAACTTCCTGGAAACAAATGAAAATGAACACACAACAACCCAAAATCTATTGGACATAGCAAAAGCAGTCTTAAGAGGGAAGTTCGTAGCACTGTAGGCCTACCTCAAAAAGCAAGAAAAGTTTTTAGTAAACTAATCCTACAACTTAAAGAATTAGAAAGCTCCCCCATGAAGCCATCCAGATCAGGGCTTTTGTTTGTTGGGAGTTTTGTTTAGTGCTTCAATTTCATCATTTGTTATTAGCCTATTCAGGTTTTCTGATTCTTCCTGACTCAGTTGTACATGATCGAACTCATATGTGGAATCTAATAAACAAAATAAACTGAGGAAAAAAATAGACCCAGAAACATAGAAGCATGGAACAGGCTGATGAATCTCAGTCAGAAGGCAGGGGTGGGGGAGTGGGTGGGGAGAGATTAATCAAAGAACTTATATGCATATATGCATAACCTGTGGACACAGACAGTAGTGTGGTGAAAGCTGAGGGTGGGGGAGTGGATGCTGGGTGGAGGGGATCAATGGGGAAAAAAGGGGGGATATCTGTAATACTCTCAACAATAAAGATAAATTTTTTTTAAAAAAAAAGACAGGTATGCAAACAATTAGCTAAGACAATGCTAATCAGAAGTCAATATTTTCTAACCCAATCAGATTAGAGTGTGTTATTTTGATACCTCAGGAATATCCCTGGTGAAACCTGAAACTGGCCCTCATACACAGAAGGCAAGGTGAGACCAAAGAAAGAGGCAAGGCATTCCAGATTCTTGGGTGGCAGGTTTAATAAGCAAGGGGACTTATGAGATGTCTTAGACTTTCACAAGTTGAACAGATCTCTGCACCTGCCCGCCAGAATCTTAGGAGTTTATACAGAGGCCTTAATGGGGTTCAGTCACATATACAGCCCAGATGGTCTCAACACATTACACTCTTAAGACTGTGTCCTTGAAATAGTTCCTAGTGTGGGAACAGTGGGCAGAAAATACATTCCAAGGACAGAGGAAGGGGTGAGGAGCCTCCAATTACCTGGGCCCGCTTTCCGGTCAATCGGTGGTCATGTCTTCTCAATTATCTCCTCCAACAGTATTCTTCCAATTGTCCCATATACACTTAATGAGTGACTGTTTTGTGCTAGGTACTATGTAGGTTGAACACTTGACACTCCTCCATATATGAATTTTGGGAACATGGGCTGATTTTTTGGTCACTTAATTGTAAAACAATCTAAATCATGATATCTGGTTCTGATATTTTGTCTTGTGCTTTTGGAAAATCACTTAACCATCTATCAT